GTTCAGCTATCGCCAGCACTACATGCAGTTACACACAACCATACAATAGGCCTTATAGGATAAGATGACTGTTTTAAAATCTAACTGATATAACAGGGTGGAGGGAGAGATTGATAACAGAAGCTCTATTTATCGAATCAACTGGCTGAGAATACGTGTGATGGGAATGATTCATCACCTGTCCCAGATATCTGGAAAATTCGACTACCATGCCTACGATAACAAATAGGAGAAAACAAAGAAAACTATAAAACACAAGTTTCTAAGTCGTGTGATTACAATTGATATGATTATGAACAATAAATTATGTTTGAAACCTTGTCATCTAGTAAATAAATACTGTTTCACTGTGTAATATATCTAGTAAACAAACCAATATTTCGTCAAGATTTGACAGAATAGTTGTAAAATATTTGGGCGCCGATTGAAAAGTAGACATTAGTAAAAAAAAATTGTATTTGTAAAATCTCAGCGAGATTGAAATGAGTAATGCCGACGTTTCGTTCGGCAATCTGATTCGAACGTCTTCAGGGAAATTTTAAAAAAATCAACATAACAGAGGTTTATATATAAAAGGAACACGCCTTGTTTTTAAAAACGTTGTCCAATCATAAGTCATGAAACAGATATCAATATGTATAATAAAACTGAGTTATTGGTTCGTCTAATTTCTCCTTTCGATAACAATATTAGGAGATCTTCTTTTGCAGGCCTAGACAACATCTTACTCATACTCAGCTCCTCATCAGGAGCAAATGAATTGATTTATGCACATGGATGTTGCCAACAGTGAAATATTGTCATCTACATTCCGTTTCCTGGTTTCTTTATTTAACTAACTGTATGGCACTCTACACACTTGCTGATCAGGTCATTGTTTCACTTCAATTAACACGGCTAGTGAAAGCTATCATTTGAATGAATGGTATGTATATAACTATCTTCAGTTATGACCCATTGCCTCATTAGCAGTTTACCAAGTTGAGGCTATCACAAATAGTCTCACCATCGATTTAATTTGGTGATTTTATACGTATGTAAATAAGCTCTGAACTCTACTCATGCAGAAGATTCATATGGTCTTCATTCTGTGTTATATTGAAGTACTGATTAAAATACAAGGACAACGGATGAAAAAGGATCATAAATTATGTAGATGAATAGATCTTTTTAGGTAGTTCATAAAATTTACTGTCATTCAAAAATACATGAAGAACCATATAAAAAATAAGACTAGTAAGGTAAATAATGAAAATAATATAGAATTCAAATCCTGTTCAATGCTGTCGTATGAAAAAGGAACTTCAGAGCCCTTATGTGAGATTCTCAATGAGACTAGAATTACGGCGGCATTCAAACCAACCGAACAACCAACTAACTCTTTCAAAGATAAACTTTGTCAACCTAACGACCTAATAGATCCAATTAAGAGAAATAATATAATATAATCTACCAAATACCATGTAATGCTGATTGTGAGGTCAATCAAACTATTAATTACATCGGGGTCAATTCGATAACTGGAACATAAAATTTCGACTACACCTAGAATGAATGATGATTGACTCTTCTAAGTTAAATAACCTAGACGAAAACTCGGTTATCACACGCGATGGTGTGGGTGGGACGGGGTGAGAGTAGTAAAACGTAATATAGTTAGTTAGGTTGGTAGACAGATAGGTCAATCACTGAAGCTTTATTTATCGATTCCACACCTCACGCTTGCACGGAATGACTCAACGCCTACACCGAAGAAGTGGAAAGTGGCAACAAACAACAGAGTGGGAAGAGGGAAAGAGAGAAGGAATGTATATCTAAGACAAATTGTGAAACCATGTGATATAATTATGATCAGTGATAATTTGAGCTCGAAACGTCATCCAGTTGTTAATACTGCACCGCTGCATGATGTTTAAAATTAACTTATCTGACATGGAATTATATTCTGCCACAGTGCCGAAGTTCTACTCTTACATTAATGATAAGTAGTTATCCTACAAAGGGCAATAGGAATTGAGAGGAGGTTGTAGTAAGGCAACAAGTTCGTACAATTTATGTTATTTAGTCAAATCCATACTTGAAAATTATTTTACTGCTCATCACTGATGACTGATTGCAAAGTGGACTTCTTGAAGTTCCAGTGAAATGTCGTCACCAGATGGGTCCAACGAATTGGATGTCATGACAGATACTCGCCAACAGATATAATGATAGATATATACATCGCGAAATTGCAGAAGTTAAGATTCATGAATCACTGGATTCTATTCCCCCTGGTTTAATGGTCAACCCTCTCATCTTCTAACCTAGACGTCCTCGATAACTACCGGATGCGGTCGAAACAGCTATAAAGTACTCACTGGTCTGCAATAGTCCTCGTATTGATGTCAGTTCATTATATTACGTGAAATTAAACAGGTGTGATAGAACGATTAAAGATGGTTTTGACAGTGAATTGAGACAGGAAATAACGAGAAAATAGCGACACTACAGTCGATTTTCTTTTTATTCCTGTACATTCCTAGTGGAACATAGGGTTTCAAGCTAGAGGCCTGTAGTTTATGTAGCAGTTGTGGTTATTTTTACTGGATGGGGTTACTAGCCTCATGCCCAACCTTCCTACCTTACCAGTCTATCTACTGGCTTAGCAAGATAAGGGAGGAGTGCTTCAGTCGGGGTTCGAACCCCGGACCACCTGCGCGGTCGACTTCGTCCCACTGGCTTAATGTTCTACGAGCTCACTGACCTTGCAACCAGAAGGTCCCGGGTTCGAACCCTGTCGGTGGATGAGAACAGTAGATTACACACCTAGAATTTCAAGTATACTTAACACATAAGGTGATTATGAAAACCGAAGATTGGACATTACACTGTCTTGAATGCCGAAATCAGCTTTTTTCTGATTTTAGCTGATAGACAGAAAGTTATAACACTAAAAATAATATTTCTGTTAAAAACTTTAAATTAATATTATGCCTTCACTTCACATTCCCTCTTAAGGAGTTCTTCTATCAATCACATACATGAATTATGCTTTTTTGGGCTTAGAGCGCTGAATTGTTTTCACCCGACCCCATTAACTTCCTATGCATATCTTAATTTTTAGATACTATGTTAGGTAACAGGTCATGAGAATTTCATTGTTTTGCAGCAGCGAATTAAATAGACATCGCATAGTAAAGTAACCTTGAGCCAACCAATCAGACTGCTGCCCAGCATTACACATGAATGCTTTTCATAATCTTCGTTACAAGTTTCATCCTAACCTCTATCATAACCTCACCTTAATCCTATTGTAACCTTAACCCTGAATCAGCATGAAACTTGCAACGAAGATAGTGAAAAACATTCATTTGTATTGCCAAGCACCGGTGTGATTGGTTGGCTCAAGGTCATTTGACCATCTGCCGTCTACTATTTACTGTTACCCACTGTTGTTTTTCTTTTTAAGTCTCTCATTTCATCACCGATGATTTTCTTAATTGTGGTGGACCGGATTATTCATTAGACTATTGTGGGCGAGGAGTCAGGGATACTCTGGACCAGCGATAAGAAGATGCTGAAAGATCTAAATTTCATGCGTGGATAATATTTGTCTAATGTCACACAAACTCGAAGACTTACAGTTGAAAAGCAACAAACTGGCTGAACAGGCAGCGAAAACATGACTCCAAGGGAACACAGAGAAGGCGGAGGTGATGTAGATAACCAACGAACCGCCACAGCAACAACAACCAGCACCAATCACCACCAAGAGGAGAGATTTAACAGAAGTTACTTCCCTGACGTGTCTGGGAAGCATCGTCTCAACTATAGGTGGAACGGATGAAGATGTCAAGGCTAGCCTGAATTGGATAGTCAAGGTATTCCTTCATCAACCTGAAACCAGTTTGGAAATCTTCTGCGTAGTGCTCAGCATAAGAAACAAGATTCGCATTTTCAACTAAAATGTGAAGTCGGTTCTTCTATACGGGTTAGAACCTTGGCCAGCGTCTAACTAAAAGGATTTCCAACAGGTAGCAGATTTTCATCAACAGCTGACTTCGCTGATTCCATACTCAAGATCAAATGGCCAGCCAGAAAGAATTAGTAACAAGACACTATGGGGACAAGCCAACCAATAGCCTATTGCTCAAAAAATATGTAGGAGAAGGTGGAGATGGATCGGGTGGCACAGTGGTTAGGACTCTCGCCGACCATGCACATGGTCCGACGTTCGATCTCCTGCCGACGCACAACTGATATCTATGGTCGGCCTGCAAAATTTGGGCTACCGATATCCGTGCTGAAAATTCCATACTTGTACCAAAAATACGGTGCGGAATCAAGCTGTAATTATGGTGAAATCCTGAAACCAATCAAATCCCTACAAACCAACACTTGAATAACAATGAGATGCTCACTGGCGACTTGCCCTATTCAGGTAGGTAGTTACCCGGGTTCTAGTGGGAAGTCGTGACCAGTAGAGTGCAGCAGGTCGGGTGTGAGGACAAATACTCACCGTAGACATTGGCTAGGGATCGTGCTATGTCGTGAATTGGCAGAAGTTGGAATTCAAGGACCATTGGATGGGGTCCCAGTGGCTTAATGGTCTACGAGTTAGCTCGCCTTGTAACCAGAAGGTCCTGGGTTCGAATCCCAGTGGGTGCGTTCTGCTGAAGAGTCCCAAACTAGGACGAAGCAGCTGTCCAGTACTCCCAGCTGGTTTCCAATGGTTCTCTAACTAATGTCAGCTCATCATGAAATCCTAAAAAAATTGAATTAAAAAAAAGTATACATTGAGGAGGCTGCCGAATGATATCGAGCCCAATGCAGGCCAGTGCTCGAGTGGAATCCAAATGGGAAGCGATGAGTGGATCATTCTAGGTTGACATGGAGGAGATCGTGTAAGAGAATAATAATAGTAATAATAAATTTCATTATATACAAAACTCAGTATGATTTTTCTCATATACTTTATAAAAGTTATTTATCTGTTTTTATTTCATCTCATTTCTTAGAAGTAAACGTCGTATTCGCCCACTCAGTTCATTTTTCCAGCCAAGTTTAACTAAAGTTAGTGAAGAAGGCTCATCTATATCGTCTACAGATAGTGGATCAGATTCACTTCCCTCGGATACACAACACCCCATCAAAGACAATAATAATAATAGTAGTAAAGATTTCAAAGAATTACAAGATTTATTCCCTTCTTTATCAGTTTCAATCTACGATTATAAAAGGCGTCATGAATCCCCTCCAGACCGTCAGTCAAAGTCATCTAACATGGCTTTTGAGATATCACCGTCTCAAAACTTGCTGTCTTCACTGGAAACATCAAAAGTCAATGATAATCACCATTGTGGTGACACTGGTGATTCAATCTCAAATCAACAGTATGATGAAGAGTTAATCAAATCCCTGGAAGTGACAACTCATAATTTGAATGCAAATAATTACTACGAGAATAATAATGATGAGAATAATCGTGATGTAACGGATGGTACTACCGCAGGTGATCACGTCATAAGCAATAAGTGTGATAATGATGCGACTGAAGGTGACAAAAGTAGTCGTGCGGTAAGTCATTGTAGCTTGAAAATCCCCATTGAGTCATATGAAAAAGAGAAGACCTTCAGCGAACAGACTCTTTTCGCCGGCCAATTCATTCACATAGCTGTACAATCGCATTTATATATAACTATTTTGTGTGTGTGTGTGTACATGAGGTTTGTCAAGTTTAGATAATTAATCAGGTAATACAAGAATGATTTAATACAGAAACAAGGTTAATCAGACAACGACTAAAGTAAGATTGAGTTAGTCAGTTAGAGTAGAGAATAATGCCATTTAGATTAGAACTAAAATTGAGCAAATAAGTTGGATGACGTAACATAAATGACTAGAAATTGAGCATTGATCAAGTCAGTAATAGTGGTAGTGAGGTGTAGAAATTAAATCGGTAGGGGGGTAGAGAACAAGAAGGTTGAAAATGTAAAATATTACAATTGTAAAGGCAAAATAATAATAATAATGAAGCGACGAAAAAGGGAAAAAAGTAAAATTTACCTGTCTGGTATTAGGATAGATTACCTCCATTGCAAGTGTAGTGATTGAACGAACTTCTTCTGTATACAGAGTTCAAGGCTTAGCAAATAAATTGCCATTGCTTCTGCAGTTTGAAGAAATTTGACTCGTACACTTTTAGGAAGACTTCTCTCTTATTCTGTAAACGGTTTTGAAGTTTGTTTGTGGTGTAGCTTGGTGTCCGGAATCTATCAGATATTCTAAGATAGAGCTGCGGGGGAGGGAGGGCATCGTTTTTCTCCTTTGTAAAACCATGCTGATAATTCATTGTGTATTTATCGACTATCTCATCACGATAATCTCTAGTTAGGCGGTTTGCATATCTCTATTTGTACCATATGCTTAGCTCTGTTGGACGCTACTTATCATATATTTATCATCATATAAACTCAATAGTAGACAGAATCCAATTCACTTCTGAGTCAGAGAATGAACAGGGTGAGTTGGACATGCTAGACTGTACAATAAAACGGAAACAGTATGGTGGCTTAGATTAGATACTAGCATTTATAGGAAACCAAGAAGCAACCTCCTTCACCTACCAACCTGGGAAGCATCGTTGCAACTACAGGCCGACGGAACTGACGACGATATCAAAGCAAGGATCAGGAAAGCAAGGTAAGCTTTCATTTCTCTCAAGTCTGTATGGAGGTGAACAGCACTACTCAGGAGGAAAATGAAAATAAGATCCGGATTTTTAACTCCAATGTGAAGTCAGTGCTACCATACGAATCAGAGACTTGGTGCATAATAAAGAGCGTCTCAAACAAACTACAGAACTTCATCAACAGCTGTCTTCGCTCAATACTACTCAAGATCACATGGCTGGCCAGAAAAGATCAGCAACAGGGATCTCTGGGTAATGAACGAACCAACCCAGCAGGAACTAACTGTACAAGAAATATGCGGGAAGAAGTGGAGGTGGATTTGCCATACTCTGAGAAGACAAGTGACTGACATCACACGTCAGGCCATCGCTCAAATGGAACGCGAATGAGAAGCGGTGAGTTGGTCGTCAGTGTGTTGGTGACATGGAAGAGGTGATGCAAAGAAAAGATGAAAGCATGTCGGCAGACGTGGGGCCAGGTGATGAAAACGTTGGCAGAGAACTGAACGCATTGGAGACGTGTGTCTGAAGCCCTATGCTCCTCTAGGAATTGAAGAAAACAGTAATAATAAATAATAAATTTGTAGGGAACCGATATACTCCAATAAATACTTAGGTGTTAATTGTTTGCACCCGGAATCAGTAAAGATGGGTTTAGTTAAATGTCTATATAATCGGGCGAAGAGCCCAACTATCTAGTAAGCCAGAAAATTTAAATAATGAAATTGAATAAATAAATGAAGTATAACTAGTGAATAACTAACTATCCACCAGAAGTTATTCAAAAATGTATGAAGAAGCATAGAAAAAGTGCTTTTAGTAATGCAAATTACGAAAATAACGGAAATATTATAGAATTCTAAGTCTCTATATTACCGCTGTATAAGGAGAGAAGGTCAACGGCCTTACTCAGGATTCTCAATGAGGCTGGAATTCGGATGGCATTCAAATCAACCAACTCACTCACAGATCAATTTTGTTGGCTTAAGGACTGAATAGGTCCAATGAAGGAAAATGATATAATTTTCTATAGTTTAGTTTGTTAGGGTTAGTTTTGTTTTTACGAGTTGATCACGGATTGATATCAGTTAGAGAACCATTAGAAAGCCACCGGGGAGTACTGGATAGCTGTTTCATCCAAGTTTGGGAATCATCGGCAGTACTCACCCACTACCAGGGTCTGAATCTAGGACCTTCCGGTTACAAGGCAAGCTCGTATAAGATCCAGCCACTGGGACTCGATTCAACGGCTACAGCATGAATTCTAACTTCTTCCAATTCGTGATTTAGCGCGACCCCAACCATTGCTGTAGGTGGGACACCCATCCTCACACATGACATCTGGATGGACCTCACTGGTCACGACTTCTCACTAGAACTAACTCCAGGAAACTCCATCCTGTAGCAAATCACTAGTGAGCATCAGATTAATTTTCTATAGTTTGTTTTGTAAGGGTACTCCGTGGTTTTCAATGGTTCTCTAACTGATATCAGTCCGTGATCAACTCGTAAAACAAATAATATAATCTATCAAATACCATGTAATGCTGACTGTGAGGTAAATTACATAGGTCAGTCAAACTAGTAGATCTGGGTACATTTAAGCTAGCTGTAAACGAAACTTCTTATTATACCCCTTTCCCCATAACTGATATTTTCACTTTCTATACACGTGGTTTAAAAAACCATTTGACCTTGTAGCTGAAAGACAGCCTGATAAACTGGCTTGTAAACGTAGTAGTAATAAATCAGATGACAGGTATTCATTTATTTTATATTTGATTACAGATTGATTCCACACCGTATTTTTGGTACACGTATGGAATTTTCAGCGTGGATATCGGTAGCCCGAAATTCGCATGCCGACCATAGATATCAGTTGTGCGTCGGCGTGGGCTCGAACCCCGGACCATGTGCATGGTCGGCGAGAGTCCTAACCACTGTGCCACCGACGCACAGCCAGCCTGGTAGACTGGCTTGTAAACGTAGTAGTAACAAATCAGATGACAGGTATTCTACGAAGATTAGGTGTGAAAATGAGATATTTACAATTAGAAAGTCTAAACAACAGCTGATGCGTTTAATTATTATTATTATTATTATTAATCAAGTGTGCGGAATCAGTTTGCAATTCACTTACACCTGGTTGACTGACCGACTGACTGACTGGCTGGTTTCAACGTGGAACTTTGCAGCAGTTCGAGTGGCCACACTTCACTCTGAACACAAAGCAAGAGAAGAAAGTAAAAAAGAAATGCAAAACAGAGACAGTAAACAGAAATATGAGGGAAAAATGATAATAATATGGAAGAACAGTATAGTTTTATCGGATATTATAAGTCACAAGGAGTGGATGCACCTGCGCCATCCATTGTGAACGATGCGTTTGAGCCATATCACCAATTATCTTTAGCCTTCATTGGTTTTTACCGTCCCAAGGACCCCAACGAGGAAACCAGTCTACACCTTCCTATGTGGCTTAAACTAACTGCTATAGATTTCATTGACTGACGAAGTCAATTTTTGGTTTGACCACCACTGGCTCTTTTCAAATTACACCTGGTTTTACATCATAGACTCAGGATATGGATTTCCAAACCACATTTCTAGACATAACTTAATTTTCTTCAAATTAATTGTTGGATGAATAGTTGTCGTTAGAAAAGGAAATATAAACAATCCGTAAATATTGGTTGCAGGGTTTCATCATGAGCTTACATCAGTTAGAGAACGATTGAAAAACCCACTGGGAGTACTGGATAGCTAGCTGTTCCTAGCTGTCAGCCTAGTTTGGGATTCTTTGGTAGTACGCACCCACCGGGGCTTGAACCAAGGACCTTCTGGTTACAAAGAAAGAGTGTGAACCTCCGGCGAGTCCCGAAATAGGACGAAACAGCTGTCTAATACCACCTGGTTTTCAGTGATTCTCTAACTGATATCAATCCGTTTTCTAATCTGAAACAAGTTGAATCCCTATAAACTGACTCCTGAAAACGAATCTGATCCTTGCTAGTGACTGGCCACAGGGTGGAGTTGCCAGGAGTCCTAATGAAACATTATGATAAGTGGAGACCGCCCAGTTTGGAGTGAGGAAAATGCTGACCTGTGATACTGACTGCTGGTCAAATTAAAGTCACGAGTCGGTAGGAGTTAGAATTTAGGAACCATTGTATTGGATCCCAGTGGTTGAACGGTCTTTAAGCTTGACCTGTATCCCGAAGGTCATGGGTTCCAACTCTGACAGGTGTGTACTGCGTATGATCCCCGAACTAACTGGCTGTATAGTACCTCCTGGTGATTTTCAATGGTTCTATAACTGACACTAATCTGTGGTCAGACCGGAAACAAGCCAAATCTCTGCAAACGAACTCCTGAAAATAGTAGTCTTCCATCATAAAGTTATCCCAGAGAATCTTACCATCTATGGGAATCGCCATCAGTTTTTGTATATTCGACTTCGACAAAAGGAAAGACAGTAATTCAGTACATATTTAATTAATAGATGAAAACATCCCCTTTTCTCTCTTTACATTTACATGAATGTTATTGTTATTATTTGTTTATTACGTTACAAATGAAATACGAGGCTTCAGTGGAACGTCTCTATTGAATTCCCGTCCACTGTCATTGCTTTCATTTCCACCTTAAATGACGTTCTCTATCTCACACTTGGACCCACATTAAGTCCGTCAACTCCTATTCGGTCTTCACTCGAGGATGTGGATGTGTAGCGTCACTTGAAGGTCTCATCAGAGTATGTCCAATACTTCTTCCGTTTTCTTCGACAAGTTTGTCGGTCAGTATGTTGTTGGCTGATTCGCTTACCACTAACACCAACACTCCTTGTTGCTTATCTTTGGTGTCTGTCTGATCTTCAGCATGGAAC